TCTGTTGGGTCACCTTTCTTTGGGATGGGAACAAATATAGATCTCTTCCAGTCAGTTGGCCAAGGGGTTGTTCTCCAGATATCTTGGAACAACTTGGTGAGCACATCTAGGGCAGCATCTATGCAGTTCAAATCCACCAGATCCTCTGTTGGAGAAGGAAGGGCAATCTCCTCCTATATCAGTCAGATCCGATTTGACGGTACACACACAAAAAATAATAAAATAAAAAAAAAATAATGCCTGGAACCCAAACCAAGCACTGGTCCAAGCACGTCATCTATTTTAACTCTCTTAATTCTCTCCACAGGGACAGTCCATGAGTGGGACAGTTAATGGTCTGGCTCTTAACCAAAAGGCTGGGGGTTCGAGCCTGCCCAGAAGCTTTGTGGAAAAGAAGCCTGGTGACCTGCTTCTGCACGGTCACGGCCTTAAAACCCAAAGGAGCTGTCCTAACGGAGCACACCTGGGCTGCCAGGATTCCTCACCACCGCCTGCTGAAGTGGGCATTGTTTCCACCTTATCACCACCAAACCAACAGTTGCGCTCGAGAAGATTCTAAGTCCAGGTGACCCCTGTGTATCTGAGCGGAACTGTACTCCTTGACGTTTTCAATGATCGACGTTTTGGAAAGAGGTCCCAGGCCTTTCTTCAGAGGTGCCCGTGAATTTTTTTGGTTAGTAGCTGAACTGACTTTTGGTTAGAAGCTGAACGCGTAACTATCTACACCAGCCCAAGGTTTGAGGGATGGCGAGATGCATTAGCTTATAGGAAGTCCCACAGCCAGTGCCCGCATCTGAGCCGGAACAAGCTGGCAGTTTGGCTGGGAGTTCTCTTCCTCTCAGTCCCACCTACCTCTTCCAGATCGAGTGTCCCCACTCCCTAAGCTTCCTCGGCCTCTGCTCCCTCTCCAGCACCCTGCGGGCAGCCTGGTAGTCTGAGCCACATGGTGAGCTTTTCTTTCTGTGGCGGGCAGTCATCCTCCATGCCTTTCACCATCCGGCCCACCCCTTCCCATCATACTTGTGACAGTAACGCCCACTCCTCTCCCCTCTGCTCTCTCTTCTCCAGCCACACGGACCTCATGACATTTCTCCCCACAGGCCGTGAATGCTTCTGCCTCAGGGCCTTTGCACAAGCTACTCCTCTGTCTAAAACACGTTTTCTCCAGACGATGAAAATGACATTATATTAAGATGATGCTTTAAAGTCTCATCACACTTAATTGCCGAGGGTGTTACTCACATGGACCACTTGCAATGGTGGATATTTTTTTGTTCACTTTACAGATGAGAAGGCATCCCTGCTGGTGCAGTGTGTTACATATTCATTTGTTAACCAAAAGGTTGGTGGTTCAAATACTCCAGCACCTCAGAGGGAGGAAGATGAGAAGTCTCCTCCTGCTTAATCAGCTGCCTCTGAAAACCCACTGGAGGGTCACCTATGAGTCAGCTCCGACTTGACGGCATGTAACAACGAATATTTTGCTATCTTTTTTATTGCCATCACTGCATACATACACATGTATGCACTTGAGTGTTTATGCACATTTCCTCCCTTATTATTTTCCTTTTTCTGTTCCTCCCTTATTATTTTCCTTTTTCTGTTCCTCCCTTATTATTTTCCTTTTTCTATGTTTGCCCTCTTAAGCTTAGGGTGAAGTTATTTTGTGGAGTACTGAATATCCCACAGATTGCCAGAAGAACAACCAGCTATGTCTTGGAGAAGGTTCATCCAGAATGCCCTTTAGGGACAAGGATGAGAAAGCTCTGGTGGCCTAGTGGCAAGGAGCTGAACTGCAATCCCAGAGGCACGCGGTTCAAATCCACCAGATGTTCTGCTCAAGAAGGAGGGGCAATCTCCTCCTGTAACAGTCAGATCTGATTTGACGGTACACACACACACACACACACACACACACACAAATAGTAAAATAAAAAAATTAAAATGGGGGGAAAATAGAGGCAAGGATGGCAAAGCGTCATCTCATACACCTTCGGCATGCCAGGAGGGGCTATTCTTCGGACAAGGACATGATGCTTGGAATGGTTGGAGGGTCAGTGAAAGAGGGGAAGACCCCCATTGAGACAGACTGACACAGAGACCGTAGCAAGGGGCTCACATTATCAGAGATGGTGAGAACGGCACATCCATAGTTCATAAGGTTGCTATGAGTCGTACTTGACTCGACAAGATCTCACAACAATAGCGTAGCACACAGTAAACCAAAACACCAGATCAGCTGCTGTTACGGTGTTTCCGACCCATGAGGGCCCCCTGTGTGTCAGAGCAAATGTATGCTCCACATTGTTCCCCAGAGCGGGTTTTACAGACGTCAATCACTATGTGTTTCTTCTCTGTGGCTCTGGGGCGGGGGAGGGGGACTCAAACCTCTAACCTTCGCGCTAGCAGCCAAGCCCACTAAGCATCTGTACCGCCCAGGGACTCCACAGTCAACCAGCGAATACTCGGTATGTCTGGAGCTGGCACTGGTGACCGTGCTGGCGCCTGTACCGGGGGCGGGCTCACCGTGTCTGGGGGCCGCTCCAGCATCACAGGACGAAGGAGGCGACTCCCTGGGGACGTGGCCTCAGGATCGCCTGCCCGGAGCAGGGACACCACCCCATTGCAGTCCACGGTGCTGTTCCTTTTGCCATTGAGAATGTGTCCAGAGGCTGGTGTCCCGGAGCCAAGCTGGCCCTGGGTGCTGGGCCGGCGGAGGGGCCAGGGCACCAGCAGTGACGTGCGGTGGCTCTCGCTGTCCCCGGCTGTGCTGTTTTCGTCATCGGCAAAGTCCGTCTCGGAGCCCAGGTCTCGTCGGCGAAAGGTGAAAATGCTCCCGTGGCTGGAGCGTTGCTTCATGGACGTCCTGCTGAGGCCGTGGGTGATGCTGAGGCGATTCTGGGGGCAGAGGGGGCAGGGAGTGTGACCAGGACAGGTCACCGCTCAGTCCAGTTCAATCTCTCAGGGGATCTCAGGCATCTGCTTGGCACATGGGTGATGACCCAGGGAGTGTTTAGAGGAGAGAATTCAGGCTTAGGCCACGCCTGCCTCTTCTGGGCTCTCCCACCTGAAGTTCGTGTCCCTGGGGCACTGAAGGTATTTGGGGCTGAAGATGAGGCTAAGGTGGGGCAGGGGACAAGGGGAAAGAAAGGCTCCTGCCGTGTGCAGGCTACAGCCACTGCAGGCCAGGCCCGAGCAAGTCCAGGGGTGGCCAGCCATGCGCCCTCACTTACATAGCGGCGTCCGATCTGTCATGGGGGTGTCCCCAGACTCCAGCTCCTAGGCTGGGAGACTCAGCCTCAGGTTAGGGGATGACGTGACACCCTAACCTGTCCACCCTGCTCCCCAAGGAGAGCTCAAAGATGTCTTAGGGGACACCGGGGGACTCTGACCATAGCAGGGTCCTGCATGCTGGCGTTCCCATCCAGACCCACGCTGAGAGGCCGGTGATTACCATTACTCGGGGACCGTCTTCCGAGTCCGACTTGGGGAACCTGTCGTCTCCGCAGTCCTCGGGCCCTGAAGACATGCGCTTTTTCCTCTTGCTCCTCCGTTCATGGGTGGTCACGGGGGCCAAGGGGGACATCTCCAGGGAGCTCCGCGACACGGTGTCCACACCCCTGATAGTGAGAGCCTGGAAGAGCAAGAAGGGGGGGTTAGCTTACCACTAAGGCAGAGCAAGCCGCTCTGCAAGCTGGTGGGGCGGCCCCGGACCCCTAAATAAGGGTATCACAGGCAGCTACGTTCACACAGATGTGGGGTTTTGTGACAAAAACTGAGATGTGAAGGAAAGAGCCTCCAATGGCGAGAGAAAGTGTAGAACAGGTAGGGGGAGCACCAATGAGCAGAGGAAGGGTAGAACTGGAGGGCAGGGGATCATCTGGAAAGTTCTAAGAGTACTGTAAGAGGTGGTGTGGGGCAGTGAGTCGAAAAGCGGATACCTATAGGCTGGCTGCTGGCAGACGAGCTCTGAGCTTAGCCCCAAGCAACCTCTGCGTGGGGAACTCTGGGTAGCTAAGGCAACACCCTCATTGGCTATTTTCTGAGATGTGTTGGGTCCTGAGCCTTCCGCACTATCTCACCAGGTATCTTGGCTCTTGACCAAGATAAACCACGTCCATGAATATACGGGTTGTCTCTCGCCCAGCTGCACCAGGTTCCCAGGGACTGCTGTTACCCAGGAATCATGACCTTTACCCAGCAGGCATCATTTTTACCCAGCTGTCACCACTGTCATCCGGAAGACACTCTGATTTCAGGGAACACGTGTACCTGGTAGACCCCATGCTTATAGAGTACACCTTTACCCAGTTGCTGTTGTTAAGTGTCGAATCAAGTACGACCCATACATACTACTACTCACAGCGACGCTGTGAACAACAAACCAGAACCCTGTTCTCTACTGTGCCATCCTCATCCTCTCGGACACATTCTAGCCCATTGCTGCAGTCACTGTATCAATCCATCTCGTTGAGGGTCTTCCTCTTTTGCTGACCCTCTATCTTTCCAAGCATGATGTCCCTCTCCAAGGATCCGTCTCTCCTAACAACAAGCCCACAGTATGTGAGATGTGAGCTTCACCAGCCTTGCCTCCAAGCATTCTGGTTGCGCTTTGTCCAAGACATATCTGTATGCTCCACTTACAGCTAGCGGGCACATTCTTTACCCAGTAGGTACAATTTTCACTCCACAGATGCCACACTAATAAAAAGATCCTTTTACTCAGCAGACATCTTCAACCAGTCGCTATTGCCTTTTGCCCAACAGACATCACCACTGTTACAGGGACTGGTTTTCCCCAGTATGCATCATGCACAGAGAGACCAGCTTTCCACAGCATGCACCATGCATGGAGAGACCAGCTTTACCCATCATGCACCATGCATCGAGAGACCAGGTTTACCCATCACGCACCATGCATTGAGAGACCAGGTTTACACATCATGCACCGTGCATCAAGAGACCAGCTTTACCCATCATGCACCATGCATTGAGAGACCAGGTTTACCCAGTACACACCAGGCACAGAAAGACCAGCTTTACCCATCATTCACCATGCATCGAGAGACCAAGTTTACCCATTATGCACCACGCATCGAGAGACCAGCTTTACCCATCATGCACCATGCATCGAGAGACCAGGTTTACCCAGTATGCACCAGGCACAGAAAGACCAACTTTACCCATCATGCACCATGCATC